CATTTTAATAGTTAGGAACCCACTCTCAAACCAAGCCTACCTATAATACTTTACTACGTTGAACGTTTTCGTGTGCTTGCTTGATTATTTATGTTGGTTAATCTTAGATCAGCCCGGATCTGCTTTTAGTCTAAGCTGAACCCTCTGGGTTCAGGTGCAGGCTTGTACCTAGCCTAGCCTAGGTCCGAACCAGGTTTCGCCTTAGTTCGAACTTAGGCTCCTTCTCGGTCCGAGCCGAAGGCTCATTCCTAGTTCAACTTTGAGCCAGTCCAGGTCCACACCAGGTCTGAGTATCAAAACTTCTGGGTCCAAGTTTAGGCTTATACCCAGCCTAGCCCAGTTTCGAACCAGGTTCACACTCAGGTCCGAACCTAGGCCCCCTTTTTTTTTGGTCTGAGCTAAGAGCTCGCGCTTAAACCAACTTTGATCCAGTCCGGTTCCATACTCGGTCTGAGTTTCATAACCCTCTGGTCCAAGCCTAGGCTTTCACTCAGCTCAATCCAGGTCCAAACCTGGCTCGCATCCATGTCTGAACCTAGATCCACTCTTGGTTCGAGCTGAGACTCGTAACCATCTAGTCTAGATCTTCGTTTAGGTTCTAGCATAGGTCTGAGCTTAGAGTTGCCTCTAGAGCTAGACTAGGCGTACCTTACTTCAGGGTCTGAACCAAAACCCATTGAGTTTAGCAAGTCTAGGCTCTAGTCTAGCCTTAGCCTAGGTCTCAGTCAAGGTTTTGCCCTTAGAGTCAGGCTAGGTCTACTCTAGGTTGTCGATTCTAGCTCTTACCTAAGTCTAGATTCTAGAATCCAGCCAAAGAGCAATCACCATGTCAGTCACTTAAGGAGACTATGATGATCGCTACAGGGGCAACTCTAAGCCTAACCTGCCCAAACCTAAGGACCGGTATGCTGCGATCCCTTGAGATTATCGACAGACCTCAGGTAAATCCATTATCCAATGCCCAGGTCTTCAATTAGAGGCGGAGTCCCAAGGGTCCACTCCCAGTCCTGAAATCTGTGTGGCCCAAAAAGTCGGCTTCGCCCGAAAAACTTTGAATAGTCAAGGGGTCTGGCCAGGTACCGTCCTACAAGGAATTTTAGGCAAACAAAGTAGAAGTCGAGTGAGGGAAGAAATTCATGTAGCATCTAACGCCAATTCCCACAACTCGAACAGAGATAACTCTGGGGTGCGGCGGTGTCAAAATCTAGATCCACCTAGGTCTAGGGGATCTAACCCAACTCGAGCCACCATAGTACAACTAATGATCTTCTGAACACTGTACGGAGCAGAGGTGTCAATCTAGATCAACCCTATAGGCGTCCAAACTGCGCTTAAAAGTCTAGTTGACCTAGGTTATACTGTTCATGCCCCAGCTCATGTATCGATGCCAAACCAACTTAGTGGTATAGGTCAACCCTTAGCACGATGAAGTCAGTCGATTCTTCAATCGGTCCCTCCAGTTCATCCGGCTCAACAAACCGTGCAACTTTCGCAACCGGTGGCAATACCTATAGGTCAATACATCCCTCAGGCACAAATGTATCAAACCACCCCGGTGACTGCGGCTCATCAATCTCAGGCCCATGCATGCCAATAGGTACCCCAAGTCTCGACTTATCAGCTTGGGAACCCATCGACCGGTGGGTCTACTATCATGCCAAACACTCAACAAGAAGGCACATTAAAAGCGATGCGGGATATGGTCGTAAGAATGGGCATGCATGAAATTCTACTCCCAAAGGCCTATGTTCAAGAGACCCTTGGAGGCATGGAGGACCTTCCCTTGGGATTTGTTGTCTTAGAATTTTGAAACAAGTTCAATGGGAAGAGTGATCCAGATGCTCACGTCAACGCATACCTCCTCTCCATGAGTGCTTTGCGAGATAGGCCTGACAAACTGAAGGCTATATTTTCGCAAACATTGACTGGTGAAGCCTTGAACTGGCATCGGATAACAATGTCCGCTCAACCACACATCACTCCAAACGAAATGTTCAACCTATTCGTCTCTCACTACTGTGGGACGACACCAAGATCTCTCTCTCTGGGCGAGCTCAGTGCAACGAAACAAAACCCAAGAGAATCCTTCGAGGATTGCATCTGTCGATTTCGCGAGTCGGCGATGCAAGTCATAGAATGTCCTCTCATAGACCCAGCCAAAATCTCCATGGCCTTAGAGAACATCTCTCTCGAATATAGGACCTTCTTCAGCCAAGGTCTTATCCCCCACTCCTTTGACTCTATGATTGAGCGGGTGGCGCGACATGAAAGGGCCAGAGGGATGCCCCTCAGCACCAAGCCTGATAATAAATTAATAAACCTATAAAAATTCCCCAAAATAAGAGCAAGAATAATAACAAGGGGAAGGCTTCAGGTTAATGAGATTGTCATTAACAGACCGGACCAAGGTTTAGCCACTCAGCACAAAAATCAGAACCAAAATAGAAGGGGTCTGCCTAGAGCCTACGCTTGAAAGAATAACCAAAAGATGAGTATCTTCACAAACCCTCTCACTAAAAATATGATCACAACGACTAAAAAGATGGGAGCTCAAGATGACTCGAAAGAGAACATCGTCCTTCACATGGTTGAGAGTGGAGACGAACAAGATGATCCGAGTCAATTCATATTTGTTTGCCATCATCACCTCCAAGAACCTGAAGAAGATTTATTACATCTTCTAAGAGGAAGCTCTTCACCTCAAACCTTCGACGATCCACCTAAATGGGATCGATATGATGAAGATGACACACTAGAGATCGATATGGTTAGAACCAATGAAAATGCGTCATCT